TCCTGAGAAGCTGGTGTTAATCAGTCCAGGCTCCTGGGGGTGCTAGAGAGGTACATAAGAGGCTCCTACTCCTCTCTCTCCCTGCAGCTCCTGCTGCTTTCTGTTATTCCCTCTCACCTTTTCTCCTGCCTGCCTGTTATGTCTCTTGTGCCCTCCTTCCTCCAGCACAGCACTGCACCATCTCTGTGCATCTAGAGCAGAGAGAATACATATGCACCAACAGCAGACACAATTTTCTACATTCTGGGTCCTCATGGCACCCCCACACACACACAGTCTGGCACCTGAGGCGGCCGCCTCAGTTCGCCTCATGGTAAGGCCAGTCCTGCCTTCTTTCATTCCAGCTGATGAACTACATTGAATACAAAGAATACATTGTCACACTTAAACTATTTGCAAAATGTTAGCAGTAATCTTTGATTCCTTTAGTTATCTTTTACTTGTATTCTTTATGTCAATCCTAGCTTTCCTCCTCTCTTCACAAGTTTTGCTCTCTTATTGAGACATTTCCCCAAATTGTAGTCTGCTCTAACACAAGAGGGGATATATATGGGTTCTTTCTTGTACCTGTGAGATTCTAATAGCTATTACTTCATGTGGAATCCACTGAGATTTGTTCTGCTTCTTCAAAAGTAAGTCACATTGCCATCATAATGATCTCAGCCACCTCTTTGTAATATTGTAATATTTCCTGTGTGTTATAATCTCAAAAAGAAGTGAAAATTGCTTAGTAGAAGTCTGTACTTATCTGCATTGTATTTATACAGTGCATAGAATAATGAACATAGGGTCTTAGAGTAAGGCTTCTAAACATGATGACAATACATACAACTACTACTAATAACTACAGCCTTTTCCTACCTGCTGGTAGATCTTCTTTTATTCATGTCCCCACCTACTATGCGGTAATGTAATTCCAGGAAGTAGTAGATTATATGGTAATGGTCCTGTGGCATAGCACAGATAGGATCAAATTCAGTGGGACTTCAAGGGTTTAACTAAGACTAAAGTTTGAGCTATACTTGGGTGTAAACCTACATGATTTCCATAGGTTACCCGCAATGGACCTGATTTTCCACAGCCTTGTGCCTTGTGTATCCTTTTACATCTACATAAAGTGGGTATAAAGTACAACCAGATTACAATGGTAGAACTTTACATCTATTTTGTGTTCATTTTTATGATGTAAATAGCTACACAAGGAGCAAGACGGTGGAGAATCAGTATCAATATCTCCATTGCACTTAGCTTTTCAAGCAACCTTATCTAACTCTAGAAAGTGCCTTCTCACTATTGCCTGTCATTAAATAATAAAACAGCTCACAATCGTGCCAACATTATACCTTGAGCAAAATCCTGCTGCTGTGAAGGTCAATGTCAATAGGCAACATTGCCATTGGGGTGCACTAGGCCTTCTGTTTTTTTAATCTTGCAGGAACACAGACAGTAGTGTTCATCACTGGGAATAAAACTTTAGCTTGAGGTGAGCCTAAAGGTGAGGTTGAAACTATTTGTTTTAAACCCTACCCTGTCATCCATAATTAATAGCATAATCCTGATTCTATAGTGCTTGAAAGGACTGTGTACATTTTCAGCTGGAGTTCTGGCTTTTTGTCTGGGGAGTAGCCAGACCCTTAACCTTGTATCTTTGAATAAAAAAGAGGTTATTTCCTGTGATTGAGCACTTGGTTTATTTTGATTGTTTTTTTAATGGTTTTCATCTGCTGTGAAGCTGTAGTGCTTAGACGTCTATTATTTAAAGGTGTTGCTAAACTGAGATATCTAAAATGTGTGTAGTTTGTTAGTGATGACAAGTTCCTAAGAGATCTTCTTTCTTTTGCCAATCCCTAATTTTGTCTAAAAGTTGTTTGTGGCAAAGCTGATAGTTGTCAGCTTTGACAGAACTGCATAAGGCCATTTCTCTTGTGATAGATGCATGGGAGCATTGTACAACAATTGAACTGTTCCTCTGTAAGTCACAGATTCAAAAATAAACGAAGGTCTAGCAATGTATTGTAACTACGTACTTTGCAATTAAGGTAACATTTTGTGGTTGAAAGAAATGCCATTGTAATTAGATAATTGTAAGATGTGTTTTAACATTCAGAACTGATTTGAAACAACATACAGGTATTGATCTGGCTTCCACAGAAGTCAGTAGAAGTTTTGTCATTAGCTTTCATAGCCATTAGCTTTCCTGAATGTGAAAACAGGTGTGTTTTTTTATCAAAGCACATATTAAAGGAAGTTACATACAAATATAACTTGGGCAACATGT